CATTAATGCTTTGTACTCTGATGGTGGTTGTGTTTTAAAAAAATATTTATTTATTTGTTTGTTTGTTTTATTCTTGATGCTTTGGATTGTTAGCCGCCCTGGATCATTTGATCATTATAAGTAATTTCATCTTCTGTGAATGTCTTCCTAAAAAAACAAACTGATCTAACTGACTTTTGTTTTCCATACCCAAGTTGTATTATATGTATAACCTAGAGGGGGGAAGGAAGAGAGGAAGGAAGGAAGGAAGGGAGAAAGGGAGGAAAGTAATGTCACTCCAGCAGATGTGGTTGAAACTGGAGCAGGAACATCCCAAAGGAAATGGCAAATGAATAAATGAGGCTGGAATACTTGAAAATATAAGTGTACCACAATAAAACAGCTGCCCGAGCGATGATATAAAAAGTGGAGAGTAGGCCAAAGAGGGACAATGTATACCCACATACAAATGATTTTAAGGCAAAATGTAGAAACCAACATTTCTGAGGGAAAGATGTGGCATTAAAAAAGGAGACTTGTTATTGTTACATTACATTATTTTACAAGCAATTTAGGAGATGACAAGCTATTTTAAGGAAGCAATTTAACAGAGACCAGATTTCAATGAAATAAAATAAAAAGGCAAGGTCAGCCTCTCTGCAATTTCATTTTAGGAGGAAATCCCTCTCTTCCATTATTCTGGATAAAATTACTAAAAAAGTTCTAAACTCAGATGCCGGAAGATAAGCTATGACTCATAGTCTGTAGAGGTAACTATTAAATGCTAAAGGAAGGAATCACTGACAAAATTAATTACAGCAACACCATTGCCTTGAAATGTTACAAAATGCTTTGTCTTTGCAATAGCTTTTCACTGGTGTTATTGAATCATACGAGCAATTTCCAGAAATCAAAAGTGAAGACTAAATTAAAAAAAGAAAAACTGAGGAATACACTTCCAGATTTAAAAGACATGCTACATTGAGCACCAACATGTGACTATTTTTTCAAAAACTGAAAATCTTCAGAGGGCAGTTGGATTAGAGAAATGGGAAAGAAAAGTTCTCTGTAAGTATCTTCTTTCCCATTACTTCCCTTATCATCTGTATAGCCAGAACAGGCTCAACTTTCAAACTCCATATAGAAATGAAAAAAAAAAAAGATTAGGATGCAAATAAAGCAGGCAAATGGTAAGTGAACTTTATTCCTTATCCCTCCTCTGCTTGTTGTGGGGAATAGGCCATAGTTACCTCCAGGGGTGGGATTCAAAAATTTTAGCAAAGGGTTCTCTGCCTGGTTGCTGGGTGGGCTTGGTCATGGTGGGCATGGCCTAATAGGTCTTCTGTACCACGGCGTGGGGGGGAGCGCTTTTGTTCTCCCTGGGCTTCGGAGGCTTTTCTCGAGCCTCCAGGAGGGCAAAAATGGTCTCCCCAGGTTCCGGAGGCTCTCTGGAAGCCGGAAACAGGCCCATTTCTACCCTTCCTGAACTTGCGGGAGGCCCATTTTTCGCCCTCTCCGAGCCTCCACACACACCCTACACTTACATACCTCCAAAACGGGCCACGTGGAGACTCCTGGGAGGGGTGGAGTGGGTGGGGGCAGCCAGGAGTTGGATCTGCACAGAATCTTAGCTAGGAGCTCTCCCGAACCCCTGCAAATCCCCAGCAGCCCACCCTTGGTTACCTCTTTATGTTGGTCTTTTAAAGATTGAGTAAAGATTATTACAGTTAAAGAGATTTTACCTAAAATGTAGTGTGCACCTTAAAGCTTGAAATAAGGTATTCCATTCCATCACAGAATGACCACCTCTACCTCTGGAGATAAGAAGAAAATTGAAAATGAAAGGGCAGCTCCATTTTAAAGAGGGAGCCAGAATTTTGATTTTAGTATCTACTGAAGAAGGAACACAATGTTACTTTAGATTGTTTCTCTATGAACAATTTAGAGTGTTTCCTTGCGCTACCAAAATATTGCTGAGGGAATATAAACCTTGTCATTGTTAGATCAGCACATTGATGGTTCAGTGATACTGAACAAGCTATAAAGCACTGGTAGGGATCCTGCTATACTTAATTGCCACAAAATTTATGGCCATGTCATGCAGTATGGTGTTACTGTGTTATTTATTTTAAAACCGACTTTCATAAAGTTTTACTCCTGCTGAGACTCTTAAAAGCAACCAGGGTTTTAAAAGGGTTCTTCATTTTTTTTATATGCAAAAAAGATAAAGCGCTCATAAAACACTTTTGATGGATTAAGTCTGGAAAGGTTGAAGTCCTAAAAGCTTTTTTTAAAGTTGAACCCTAAAATGATTCATTAAAACAGTGAACTTATTTGAGCTGACTTTGGAATCGAGAGCCATTTAGCAATTTAGAAAAATGTAAAAAATATAATCACAATTTGTCTCTTGAAACTCAAATGTAGCCTGGTATTAATTCATTGTCTGATCTTTCAGTCCTTTCTTTTAATGATCTTATTAGCCAGCATGCACTTGAAGTATAACCACACGGTTAGCAGTTGTCTGAGATTTAGCATAGAGTTGATTCCTTTGACATTTGGCATGTTCCATCTCTTAGTCACCCATTTTTAAAATGTTAATTCCAAATAAAATATCCATTTTGCAGCTGTGGTAAATATCTACTACGCTATATGACCAAGAGAAAAATTATAATGGGAAGATGGGTTTAGAATGGGGAATTCTTACAATAAAATGGAAAACAACACTAACAAAACAAATTAGTTTCCTTGTTGGACAGTTAATTGTAACAAAAAAGTGATGTGAACCATAAATAGAACCACAGTTCTAATAGAATTACTGTTTCATATTGATTTTTAATGAATGTATAATTTGCTTTATAATTTTAGTAGGTTTGGAAATGCTTCAGTGGTGGGATTCAATTTTTTTTACTGCTGGTTCTGTGAGCATGATTTGGTGGGTGTGGCAGGGGAAGGATACTGTAAAATCTTCAGTCAGAGGTGGTATTAGCCGGTTCTCCGAACTATTCAAAATTTCTGCTGAATACCACCTCTAAAATGCTTATATAGTGATGTGGACTTTGCAAAAGACATGTTTAAAACCTCTGTAACATAAATTTGATTTCTTCCAATAATTGACACCATTAAGAGGTTAACAAACATGCCATTCAATGCATCTACTATTGTTACTATAAAGGCAGATACAATGCCTGTATCTATAAGTTATACAACTGGCACTTCCATTGCTCTTAATGTCAAACAATCAATGAGACTTGACTATATCACCATGAGACATGGAATAATAAATTCCTAAACCTGTAGCTTTATGAATAGCCACCTCTTATGCTTGAAATAAACCCAGAAAAAACATAGCTCCAATAGAAGAGAATATACAGTATATAGTTCAGGGTTGAACTGTGGAGTCTCCTGTTTTATCCCTCCCTCCCTCCCTCCCTCTCCACTCTCCATCTATCTAGAAAGTCCAAAATTCTCAAAAACTGAAAAGGAGCATAAAATATTAATGTAAGTTGAACTGAGTCCACAATAGCAATACTGTAAATCAATAAAATCCTGAAATGCTATAAACTTTTCAAATAATTGTGTTGGTCAACTACATGAAAACCATTTGGTAATAATAAAATAGTACCATTATTAAGGCTAGCCAGAAACTACCAAACAGTGATAAATATTTAGCAACCCTGCAAAGATTATTAAGTAAAACTAATTAAATGTCTATGGAGATTCTCAGTCATCCAGGTCATGGTTGTCCCAAAGGTGCTTTTTCAAGAGGCAACTAAAGAAGTCAGAGCTGAGGAAACTTCTTGGATGAGAAGCGAAATGACTTCAAAGAAAAACCAGAAAGACCAGTTGCCTCTTGAAAAAGCACCTTTGGGACAAAACTAAATGCATGAAGGGCACAGTAGAACTAAACTAAAATGAAGGGCACAGTAGAAAAATCCCCTCCATCTAGTCATTCTAATTTTTTTTAAATGCACCAAGCCACCAAATGTCATCATAAAAAAGCATCTGAAGGAATTGATTCTACTCAATTCTTGCCATAAAACAGAATGTTAGTGTCTCCAGGGAGCTCTCCTGGCAATCAGCAATACCTGACTGGCGAGGGAGATCAGAGTCACATAAGCAGTGTTTCAGCATTGTGTTGCAAGCTCTGTCCCTTTTCTGTGTATGGTGTGATGTTGCCCAGATATCTAGGCTGGCTAATATTTGAATGGGAGACTGTCAGAAAATCCCACATAAGCTGATCTCCAATTTCTAATGGAAAATCAGTAAAGTATATTGACAATATGATTTCATGGTTACTATAACAAAAAAATTGATCTATAAAATTTGGAGGGAAATCAGGTGGCACACATATGGGAATGTAAAATGCATGCAAAGAACAACATGTTTCAATACTTCCCCTTGATAGGAAACCTCCTACTTATACTAAATGAGTGTACTAAGGAGAAGATTAGGTTTAAAATCAGGGAGCTAGGACATGTCGGTTGGGTTCACTTAACATGCTAAGCCATAATGTAATTAGTGTGATGTGTGAAACCAGTCATATTTTTAATCATGTGGTCCCCTCTTTCTGTTTTGAATTTTTTTTTTTCATGACAAGAGGAAAAGTACAGAAATAGTTGGTTATAAGGGACAAACAATGTTGCTTCTCTGGGCCTTCTCTGCCGAAAATATTTTGCATTTGGGGTGGGCAATCATTAAAATGCTTATTTATGTGGAAATTGTGCCTTTTTAAACATCTCCAAATATGCTGAAATATATGTCTGTGGGATTAATATAGGATCTCCAAGATCTTTTGCCCCCCCACTTTCACTACAAGCTCTCATTTTTTAATCATGCGATGTAACATCCAGGATAACATTTCAGAAGAGGGAAAGATGAGGAAAAGCTTTAGAGCATTAATGACATGATAGTATGGTCCTTTTAGATGAAAAAATGGGATCTTTGTTTCTTAAACTACCTGCAGGCATTGCTAGAAAAAAAGACTGGTGCTGTTAGTTGAGATAAAACAAAACAGTTCCTACCCCTCAAAGAAAAAACCATGTACTGAATCTGATTCCAGATATGGTGCAGTAAGATAAGAAAAGCCAAAACTGATATGCAGAATGTCAACCCCTGTGAGGAAATAATAAAACATGATTTCACCAATGTTGCCAAAATCATCTGCTCATAACTGTTGAGCCAGGTGAAGAAGACATTCCACTCTCAGTATACATTGAGCCCAGTTTTTAAAGTGCCAGGTGGTTATATAAGCAATATCAAGTAAACTTTGTGCCAGATTAGTCCTTGTAAGAAGCATGTACAAATTAAAATGTTAGGCAACAATAAAGACCCCTGACTTAGAATATCTTATTCAGTCTTTGCCTGTCCCAGTTTGAGCTAAAGAAATTAAAATGCTGGCACAGATTGAGGTGCCGGCAGTGATTAGGGTGAGCTTTCTGAATAGGAGTGAGTTGGCTCAGTAGGGGACATGCCATTGAAAGAGCCTCAAGTTAACTGAAATGACACTTATGGTGGTTTGTTTAGCTGAATCCACTCATCCAAAATGATAATGTGGGCCTTCTGAACATAAAAAAGGATACGTTCCTCACAAAAAGTCCCTCCTAGCTCTGTTTCTGACCTCAGTAGGATCTTGATTCAGAGCTTTGCAATGACAGGACCCTAACACATTTATATGGTGATTTCATAAGCACCAAAAAGATGTAAAATTATATTACAATATACTGTGCTACATTGTAAGCTGTCCAGATTCACTTGGATAGTGAAAAGGGCAGCATATAAAATAAATAAATAAATAAATAAATAAAAGTACATTAAATACAGCAAAGGGGCTGTACCTGAAAGCAGGCTACCTAAAGCTGCTCTCAGTGTCCCACTCTGAGAAGACCAGATGTCCACCAGCAGCATGGTGGCTAGCCACTTCATCTGCCAAAATACACTGACACAAGCACGTCTTAGGGCCAAGCAAGTAAGTGGCTTTGCTTTCAATACTCTTGGATAGAGGAACAAACATCTTTGCTTTGGGTAAGAGAATCCTGTTCAGCAATGATAGCAGACATAGCTGAAGAGGTGTTTTGTTTTGTTTTGAACCAGAGGCTATCCATAGTGGTGACTTTGGTACTCTGCTCTATTCCTGGCCTTGAAATCCTCTGGCATGAAGTGTAAATGCAAACACACATAAGATTAAAGATGTCGCTGCTGAATTATATTTTACCTTAATCTTTTATCTGCACTACATAAATGAACCGTTAGTGAATCATTTAAAGTAATATGTCTCAAGATCTCTACCCATACAAACATTAATTTATGATATTTTAGTAACTGTTTCCATATGGAACTGTTTGGAACTTTGTCTCAGCATAACTCTCTTATCTGATATAAGGAGATTTGTTTGGAATTAGTGGAGATGAAATGTTAACTTTTGATTACCAATGCAGCTGATTTTATTAAGTCATGATTTTCAGATACCATCAGTGTCAAAGGCATTACCATACATTTGCAAATGTGCTAAATTACACTTCAAGCCAATAATTTCTTTTTTCTGAAATAAGCCTCTTTGAACTCAATGTGATTTTCTCTTAATATCGTTAGTTATTTGATGAGATTAGATCTGAACATGCCAATTTGACAATGAAAATTATTCCTTCCACCTAAAGAGCCAATTGAATCCAAGGAAGGCTGTCCGTTTAAAGAAAATGATGGGGAAGCATGTTTTGCTAATTTGTTTTTTTTACAGAATCATGTACTGTAATGGAACGGTACATTAGAGAACATCTAGTCCAACCCCCTACTTAGTGTAGATTCTGCTAAAGCTCTGTTCAGTTCCAGAAGTATTTTCCGTAGTGTTTTAGAGGTGAGAAAGTCTCCAGAGCAATATTTTAGTAGTCCGCTGAATTGCAAAGAGTAAAAGAAAGCTACATCCTTTTCTTCTTGTTGTTGTGGAGTGATATGCAGTTAAGCACACATCCAGATCCCACCTATGTACAATACTTACTGCTTTCTGATTTAAAGCTCACTGTGTTTTTCTTTAATTGATACTAACAATAGGAAAGAAAATAAGATTTCAACCATCATGATATAAATAATACAAAATGTGGAAAGAATTAAGCAAGTATCTTCCAGTTGTATGATTAACACGATTGCACAACTGGAATTCATGATACATATCCAGCAGGGCACATTTACTTAATTTGTCTAATTTAAATGTAAAACACGTGATTTAAATGAAAATTTGTTTTGGTATTTTCATTACCATGATTACCATGAATTTTTATGTACTTTCAGTTCTCACCTGCCTTTTTGCATATCTTAGAATTGTTTTTAAAGCTTTTATTGAGATAGCTTTTATCAATAAAGACATAGCACTTAGACTTATATACTGCTCTATAGTGCTTTACAGCACTCTCTAAGTGGTTAACAAGTATATTACCCCCAACTATCTGATTCTCATTTTACCGACTTCGGAAGCGTGGAAGGCTGAGCTATCCAGGATCAAACTACTGGCTATGGACAGAGTTAGAATGCTTCATTCTAACCACTATGCTACCATGGCTCCTCAATACGGAAGTCACTTTTTTCTAGAATTCCCATATAATTTTCCTATATAGGATGTTATGGAGAGAGGATGGCTGCCTAGAATTTCTCAAATTTATATTTAAAGATCTGTTGATCTGATAGAACCATTCTTGAGATCCCAGCTTGAGTTCTGTTTCACATAGACTGTGAATAAAACTGGCTTCTCTTGTCAGAACTATCAGGCAACTCTCAAGGCAAGCATTTCAAAGGAGACCTCATAATCAAGACATGTTCCTGATCTTCCTACTTGTTGCAACTTCAGTTCTTCCAAGCATAAAAGAGGAATAGCTTAAAATTGTGCTTCTTTCTAAAAGTGATGCAAATTGATCCCAGATGATAGTGGAAACCAGAGACCTAAGAGAGGCATTGGAAAGTCAAGCTTCTTTGGTACAGGGGTGGAAGTAAATTTTTTGTAAAGTGTTTGATTAGGGACACATCTTTATTAAAACTTTGCAGCATTGGCCAGTGTCCCTCAGATACTGTAGTGTTGTGTTTGCTACTTATAGTATGTATGCACAGAGGTATTTCAATGGCACTATAAATTATGAGTGAGGAAATTGCCTTGTCAGCTAATCCCAAAATAATGCTGTCCAGTAAAGGTATTGTACAATAAGCAAGAATGTTATATGCATCATTGTATGAAAGACACAAATCACATTGCTGGCATCACATTGCTGGCATCAACTGCACACTGATATCATGATACATCTGATTTCATTGCCTCGTCTTGCGAATGCCCATGTCTTATAGAGGTGTAAAATAACAGTTCTGAGTATCCCTTGTTATTTTCAGGAATATTATGCCAAGAAAAGCTGCACTAGGTTTTAAAAGCCAGTATATATAAGTACTATGAGCAGCATTTGATATAAAAAATTACAAAACTGTGTCTATATCTAAGAATATAGCCTTCCAATTTTCTTTTAAGATTTCATAGGGATTCTACGTGGCTAAATTGGCATATATTAGAGTTAATGAGGTACTAACATAATTTCCTTCTTAGAGGTACTTTTCATAGAAAATCATGGTTGAATGCAACATATTCAAAGAATTATACTAACCTGTGAAGTATCTGTAGATGGGTTAACTTCCTTACCACACACAGCAGAATTTGTATTTGCAGAAGCTGCTTCTGAAGCCTCTGTCTTCTTGACATTCACTTCTACAGGAATGGAAGGCCCTACCTGCCTACTTTCGGTCAATGGAGCTGGATTTGAATTGCTTGTTTGTCGTGGTGATGCTTTGTACCAACTAGGGTAGAACAAGGGATCAGATGGCTCTCCATTTGACTGTAGTCCAGTCTCTACTAGTTCTGCAGGCTGTGCTGTAGTAGTATCTACAATTTCATCCTTAGTAGGAAAGATTTAAAAAAGAAAAAAAAGAATGCAAATTATTGGAGGTGTTTTTTTGTCCACCATTTCTTCTCATCTTACTCTCTGAAAGGGCAGCATCATGAAAACTTATATTTTAGTTTTCTATACTTGATATTCTAAACTATGTTTATTTATTATTGAAAAGTGCAGCAGATCTTAGGGCTTTTCCATAGTTATCCCCAACCATAACAGAACACAACACATGACACAAACATGTCCTGGCAACATCTTTTTCTATTGTCTTCCCATGAAGTTTGCTTTATGTTGGTCCTATCCATGAGTACTTTCTGCCTTATTCCAACACCACACAAGGGCAGCCTCCACAGTAAAATTTGTGACCAGGGAAATATTTTGGATTTATAATTATATGGTTGTTATTGACAATATACAATATCTTCTAAAATTAACTGAATAATATATTATGAAGATTGGTTCTTTAGAATATTAAGTGTTAGTATTTTAGGACATTTTAAGTACTGGTATGATTATTTAAACTTAGATATTGTTGTATAGTTATCTCTATTGTTGTATTGTTATCTCTACTGAAAAAGTTGGGGGTCACTAGTGTTATATATTTATTTGATAGGGGTTTTTTAGTCACTTTTTAACTTGTCCTGTTATCCTCTCTCTATTTTTTATTTTATGTTAGTTTGTATTTTAATGTTTGGTTTTGAAATTTAATAAAGACATTTTTTAAATAAAAAAGTAAAATCTGCTAGCTATCACTTCCCATTACATTCAAGGAATGCAAGTGACTTCAGTGATTTGAAACAGAAGAAATAGAGACAGCACAGCAATCGAAAACGGGAACAGTCAAGGTCAAGCCAGTATAATATTCTGCCAATTCAAGGATGAGGGATTACACTTTTAACTCAGCAGTGGGGAATTAAAGTTCATACTAAGGAAACGATAAATTCAGCTTGGTAGTTGTTTGTTAATACACCATCTGCAGCCAAAGTAAAAAGAAACACTTAGGTTGTAAATCTTTTTGTTAAATTCTGAATTCTACTAGTTGTTTTATTAATTATTATTATGTTAGTTTTATTTTACATAATGTTACTTTTTAAATCCTCTTTTGGTTTTTATTTGTTCTAGGCAATAGGTTATTTTAAGATGACATTAACAGGAATTATAGTTTTAAAAGTACTGTATCAGAAGAGAAAAGGGCAAGGTAGGCTGGGTGAGGTTTATTTTCTATTGCTATTGGATTTTTTAGTATGCTCTAAGTAAAAGTTTAAGAGCTGCATCCAACAAGGGCCTTCTGCAGAAAACCATTCCACTTGCTCTAGATGAAGGGTCCAGTTTTCACTGATCTCTTTACCTACTACAACCTTCAGGGTAAGAATATGCTGATTAACAATTCCTAGATTTACTGGAGAGCAAGAAAATTCTAGCAGTTGTAGACTAACAAACTCAAATTACCAAAAATTGGGGAAGACTGACCTAATGAATTAGCATATTTAATTAATAAAGGGATTAACAAAGTGATAAAATATTTAACATAACTGATATGAGAATATTTGTTACCTCTTTTGCTGTAGTAGGAGTATTAACTAGTGGGTTAGAAGGTAATGATGGTGCCAGACTACTCTGAGATACTGCTAGTGTGTCTTTTAATGCAATATCCTGTTGAAGTTGCTGAGATGATGCTTGTTCAGATATTTCATCTTCTTCACCTGATGATTCAGTGTGGATTTCATCTGGTGTTTTCCCTTCCGTAGCATCTTCCTCCTCCTCCTCTTCTTCTATTGTTACATAAAAGAGAAAATACACTAACTGGTTTCCCCTAAAATAAAATTTGTTAATAGAGAATCTTTGATTCTAAAGGTTCTGGTTTCTGCTTTTCTAAGTAGGAATATTTGTCTTTGGCCTTATTAAAAGAATTGAATTGCATCAAAAAAACAAAACAAAAAACCACAGCCAGCACTCTGAGCAGAATAGTATTTTTGCCTCAGTTCCTGTTCATAGATGTTTCTCTCAACACATAATAAAATTAACAACTTGTTTTTCTGTGAAACCTTCCCAAAGGAGTTTGAGATTTCCTAGAATGGTTGGCACATTGTTTTTTTTAGAAGCAGAACTATTCATCTAATAATCAGAACAGAATAGGAGGAAGTAGCTTGTGTAGAGAGTAGACAAGCTATCATAGCAGGCTTTTGACTTTCACTCCTGAGTCCTTTGATTTTTGTCACTGAGTTCTTTATTCCTAGGAAAAATGGGAAGTGCAATTATAGTCAGGATATGGTCATTGGTCCAAGGATAAATTATTAATCATTTCAATTGTATATTACTTAAAATAAAAAAGGTCTCCAGTGGAACAGTCTAAGAATACGTTAGACATATGGAGTGGCCAAGGGTATCAAGAACATATGCTTACACGATTTGTGTATAAAAAAGGAAAGGGAAATGATTCCCCTTGCCATCAAACTTTCTGTGCTATAATCCCTCTTCCCAATCTGCCTCATGTTTGTGCTGAAATATAGATATATATTACTTAACAGCAATATAAAGTAGCAATTAAAAAAGCTAAAGGATACCGTCACACTTCTTTCCTTAAACTCTCAATTTTTATATAACAACTAGGCCTATCACATGATTTTGTACATTATTGGATCAAAGATTTGAAATGAAATATTCTATGATGAATATGACAGATTATGATGCAAGTGATTATCTCAGGGCTATGTGGAAACGATTTGTTAGCATTCAGTACTTTTGTTTTTCTAGAAGGGTATTCTGAACTGACTTCATCATATTTTAAATACTGGGTCCAGCTTCAGCTTTCTGGTGATAAACATTTCAGTAAACCCACAAAATACCAAATTCTGATAAATGATGGTTTATAAAGAAGTATTTGTGAACTTGAGCTGATTTTGGTCTAACTAATATAAATGTGATTAAATACTGTTACCTTCCCATTGAAATAGTACCTGTTTATCTATTCATATTTGAATGCTTTCAAACTGTTAGGTTGGCAGGAGCTGAGGCAAGAACAGGAGCTCAACTTGTCACATAGCGTTGGGTCTCGAATTAAGTAGAGAGTCACACAAACACATTATTTTAGGGTGACATGGCATCACAGAATCCTAATTTAGCTTATTTTAATGGAAAAGTTGCCTTTCTATCTTGATTATATTTGTTCCAATTTTTTTTAAATAGTTGTTTACACTTTTGTTTCTTACTCTTCATTTACCACTACATTTATGAAAACAACAAGGTAAGAGTAGAGAATGAGAAGCTTTCAATTATCACTTTTTCAATAAGATTCCATGAACTTTGACTAACAACAAAATTGACATTCTTTCTTTACAATGGCTGTAAACACTGGATAAATACTACTGTTACTGTATACAAATTCATTTACATGATCACAGATACACATGTGCACACATATAAATAACCTGTCAATATTTCTCAGTATAACTTTGGTGGTAATTAACATCTTTTGGGTACAAAAATACACAAAATCAAGCTTGATGACTACCTTTATTCAAGGAAATGTTCTATCATGAATCACTATTGGTAATCATTGCCAAGGTTCTGCTAGTCATATAAACAGATCAGACAGAGGTTAATAGCTTTGATGTATACTGAATGTTGGAATCTTGAAAGATTTACAACACTAATGCCAACACTCAGATTCTATGAAAAAAACATATTTCAGCATACTATCTTAGTCTTCATGAGTTTACTTTTGATTATTAGACATGTAAAATATATCTTTCACTTTTGTAGAATGTCAAAAAGGTCTTTCAATTATTTTTGTGACAGGATGTCTTCACAAAAATTGAACACGTCACAGCTAAAAGGAAAATAAGCTTTTTAAGAAAGGGAAACCTACCTCTGTAAAAGTAAATTTCTCTAATTATCTTTTCTTCTCTGTTAAGATTGACTGTGAAGTGGGTCATATTTTCGTAGCCTTTCTCTATTTTTTCCATCTGAAATGCTTTAGAAGCTTCAGTAATTCTAAAATAGAAACACCATTGTGTCATCTGCATTATTTTGCAATGGAACTATTTAAAAATTGTTGGTTTACAATGAAAATGGTAACATATCTTTACTTACTTTTGTAGCAATGTTTTAGCATTCTGTGAAAAACAAAATATATCAATAAAATACATTATTTAATAACGTGTTCCTTTTCTTTTCAGCATACAGATTTAAAGTTAATTCATATATAAAATGTTAGAATGCATTTTTAAACAAATAATAGCTGGAATTCTAACCATAACAAGATATTCCACCAAGATAATGCAATTACCCCTTTGGGGTAAACCAAACTAGAAAGTATATTTCGATCCAGAAAGATATTTTAACTGTTAATTTCTCTAGGCCAGGAGTCGCCAACCTTTTGGACCTCAGGGACCACCAAACTCATAATTTTAGATCCCAGGGACCATTAACCAGTTCTGTGGGCATGGCCTAATTTGTGGGTGTGGCTTGGTGGTCATGTGACTGGCTGGGCATGGCTTGTATGTAAATATTATAAATATTTATATAAATATTGATTTTTTTTATAAAAAAGAGCAACTTTTACCCAAAATCAGGCAAAGCAGGCAGATTGAGTTGCTCACAGAATCACAGATTCATTCAGAGATCTATCTATCTGCCATTGGCTAGCTCAGTCTGTCACATAAAATTTGCTTGCAAGCAAACTCACAAAATTAACTCACAACACACCATACATGTAAATATTGAATTTTTTTATTTAAAAAAAGAGCAACTTTTACCCAAAATCAGGCAAAGCAGGCAGACTGAGTTCCTCACAGAATCATTCAGTGATCTATCTATCTGCCATCAGCTAGCTCAGTCTCTCAAATTTTCTTGTTGTGAGTCTGCACTGAATTTACGTGCAAACAAACCTTCAGTCCTAAGGGAGGTTTGGCTGTGCTGAGCCAAAGATCTAAAGACTAGCTAGAAAGCAAGAAATCCAACCATTTCCTGCTTCATAGCTAATCTAAATCTCCTGGCACAGCAGAACAGATGATGGTCAGAAAAAGGAAAAATAGCAACTTAGCAAGCAAGTTTACTGGGTAAGGAGTGAGTGAGCGAGCGGGGAGGGTTCCCACGGGCCATGTGGGCAGCGCAGCCTTGTGTTTCTGTGCAGCCTGGATTAATTGCTTTGTGGGGGTGCTCTGGGGGTGAGATTTCTCTGAGGCCCACCAAAATTTTCTCACAGCCCACCAGTGGGCCGCGGTCCACCAGTTGGCGACCACTGCTCTAGGCCACATTGGATAGCAAGAGACCTTCTTGATGTTGTTAAATTAAAACTTCCAGCATTACAGTTAGCATAGCCATAATAGATGCTATGAGTTATAAGACATATAACTTGACAACATATAAACAATTACATGTTTCCCATCCTTATTATACATGTACACATTTCTAAAATCATGCCCATGAATATTATGATCTGCTATGGTTTGTCCTATCTGCTACATCACAGCCTGAACATTTAGTTCAATACAGAAAGGCAAATCAATTTGTTCCTTGGGTTAAGCAATAACGTAGGCCAATTAATATCACAAATTGCTTGTACCTATAATTCTTGCTTCTTTTGCACGATAGATTAATGACTGAGATATGCATCAGTTATAAGCTGACAGCAATATAGAATTAGTGCATTTTCATATTGGGAAATATCAGGCTAATTATATTCAATTTACTTGATGTACTTAACAGAATGAATTATCAAATTCTAACTTTCTGGTTTGGGAGAGCTCCCAGCTTAAAATAAAAATACATGCTGTGATTCCTTTGCAAAATCAGAAGGAACTTGAATATGATCTTCACAAAGTAGAAAGTTCAAGTTAAATAAGAACCATTTGATTCCTCAGATTGGAATATAAACTGTTCAGGAGAAAATTCTATTATCTATCAAAATTCAAATTTAAACTTAATTTTTGGGGAAAAAATTGGGTCACTTTGACATAAAACATAATATAACCTAATTATTTCCCTATACAATATGTTGTATTACATTCCAAAGGTTTTTATTATCTTTATTTAATAACCCTAGGATAAATGTTGTTTCAAATGCATATCATTTATCACTTTGAAAAATTTATTTTCCTGTAAGTGTTGTCTGTTCAATCATTTCTTCTGATTTTAAGAAAATCCCATAAATCCCATATGGGATGGACAAAAATACAATGTTTAGATTGAATATGGAAAACTACTGTACAAGTAGATATTCTATAAAACTTACATTTGAGAAGTACATGCTGAACACTCAAATGGTACTTTCCATAGTACTAAGCTATTCACATTTTAAAAAACTCTTCTGCAACATACCTGTAAAAATACAGCCATTTCTGGCTCTTCCATAAATTGGATGCCTGATTCCACCAGTTTTGATACTGTCTCTAAGTGGTCTGCGTACTTTTTTATCAGAGACCGGACATGTTCCAATTTCTCCTCTTGGCTCCGAGTGATTATTTGTGTCATCTCACCTTTTCGTTCTTCCAATATTGCATACAAATAATCAAATTTTTCACATAGTTGCTCCTTCTGCCTTTTGCAGCATTCCTGTGAATGAATCATTAGCTTTGTGTTAAAAGAATTATGTCGACTACATCTGTTTTTATTTCTATAAATTGAGGGAAAGGCCTCTGCACTGAAAAAGCGTTTTCTTTTTTCTTTTAAACCTTCACAGTATCTTGTAGAAGCCAACAAACTTCATTGATTGAGACAAATCACAAAGGTAATATTGAACAAAAAAGGACATTTAAGGTTTGAACATTCCAAACTAACACCCAACTAGATTTGCCTCATAATAAGTACTAATAATGAAACCTTTTTCAGATGCTGATGGTAGAGCTCTAAACATTTCTATTTAAGCATCAAGATCATTTTAATTTTAGAATAAATATTCTAAAAATATAAACTGTAATAGCTTTTAAAATAAATGTTTATACCAAAAGTCTTCAGGATGACTTGCAAATTCCCCCAAACCCCTCAAAACTTTGCCATTTATAATGTTTACAATTACCTTACATTATAAATAATAAATAATATAATGTAATTTGTAAATTATTAAAATTACTTTAGAATTATTTCCCTGGATTGCAATATCTTCTATTACATTATAATTGCAATAGAAGATATTGGAATCTTGAGAAGTAATTCTAATAATTGTATTTAACTAATTTAATACAATGTAATTACATACCATTAAACTAAATCAAAATTTATTTTTGCTTAGGTTCCAATTATGGCTTTGTCCTGGTTATCTCTTCTGAAATATGATTACTTTCCAGGTACCTAATACAGTTTTGCCACTTTAAATACCCTGAAATAAGTTTTCCCTTTCCATAAATTGAACACTCAAAAACCCGTGAAAATTTCCAGAACTAAATATAGTTTAGTAAGATATACTTTGCTTTTGCAAGTGAATAATCAGACTATTTTAATAGCTTTGCCTTATTTAAGTTTTTCAGCAAGCCAATTTAAGAAAGGTAATAAAATATGCTATCTGTTCCAGATGGGGAAAGAAAAATTGCATTTCTACTCAATAGGAAAAGTATTGTATTTAAGTGCCAAGTGTCTATTTGATGTCATAGTGGTGTCTAATGGGCACAAACATTATATGAAGTTAAGAAAAATATTTGAGCTATTACTATAGGGAGAAGAAAGGCTGAGATCTTTATGTTCTATTACTGAGGGACACAAAGTTAGTCAGAATTATGAAAAAGAGCTTCTTTGGCTCACACAGACTATGAAAGATGTGTCCTTGTGAAATTGTTTTGGATCTTCCTTTACCGTATTGCTTTTTGTTGAGCAGAAAAATGTGTTTCCTGTTGATTTCATAGATTTTAGATATAACCTTCTTATATTCATGTTTTCAGTTTTACATTAATTACATTTAAACAATCTTGCACTTAGCATTTTTAATTGGTAAAATCATTCTGTTGTGCAAACATGTAAGAAGTTTGGGGTATTGCCCTTCTAAATAAAGAAAGATAACAAAAACAAAGAAAACAAAATATTAAAAACATAATGAAGGCTAAACCTATTAAATGCTATGAAAATGAAAGGATTTATGAGAAGCTGCATTCCTCAGCTTAGCATTTGGAAAAAGTGGGAATTATATGTAAGTAAGTCATTATTGAAAACATATAATATCAGTCTTGGTGATTGCTTCCATTTCCGGTTGGATTGTTTTGTAAAACATTTAACAAAGGTTTTGAATTTATTTAAGAATTTTTCTTTGCTTGCATCTCATTATGGCACAGAGATGTGTGAGTGTTCTGCTTTTTACCATTGTGTTCATTTGATCCTTAAACCATATCTGAGGTGGCATCAAATCTCCATAGGTTTACCAGTGCTTTTATTTTTGCCTTATTCTGACACAAGTTTTGCAGTTGGTAAAACTTTATGCATTTCTATCACCATGCTATCAATAGTGCAATTTGGTGATCCCTAAAAGGTGGATCAGCCCAACAGCAATTGTTTTTTTAGATTCACCTGTTAGACCTCCCAACTCATTCCTGGGCATTGCTTTGAGCAGAGGAACAATCCACTTCTTTCAAACTGAGTTTTCACTAACTGCACCTGGTCTCTGAAACATAAGTCACCTTGAAAAACAGCTAATAGTGGAGATGCCATAGCAGGGGGTAAATGGTAGAGGCAGATCTGGTTGTCTCTCTGCTGCTTTTCAGCACAACTCCCATCACAATGTCATCTTTGCTTGGGTTATTTTTCAGCAGGCACTTAGTGCTCTTCTGAATATCAGCTGGGAATTGGGCTGCTTTGAATACAACCACAGACAGCACTTGTAGAAAGTCATGTTTTGGCAGATGGTTAAACCTAGCAATCTAGTTATCTGTTAAAACTTGTCTTTCTTTTCTTCCCTCCACATTCTATTCCATATTAAGGAAAATGAATGATGAATGTTTTCCTGCCAGCTATTGACATTTGGTAGGAAGAGAGAAAAACAAAGTCAGTGAAATATGGCAAGCCCCATCCTTAAATGCTTGGTACACTGTAAATAGACAACACTATTTGTTGGCATTGTATGGTAGTAAGGATTATCAACGGGGATAGCAATTTTTATGTCAATATAGATAGTTTTATGCCCTAATAGATTTCTGCCATCTCGGGGATTAAGCTTGATAGTAAGGAAGAGTCCTAAGTTGCTAAAACTTCAATATTACAGTATCTTTCCTTTGGAGAGTGTTTAATTCTCACCGTGAAGGTACTTGAAAGGTTTGCTATGGTCTGCAAACTCCTGATACTGACACATTTCATCTTTGCAATATGTAGACTTCCTTTATGCATACTTGCAATATGTGACGTCTTAACTTTTAAATGCTAATATTTTCATACATTCCTTGACTCAGAACTTTCAGCAATTTTGAACCATGTTTGCTATATTATTTCCTTTCGTACGTTTTGATTATGGAAAGGACTCTGATGGACTTTTTGCAAATTAGAATGATATATTGCGATGTAAGCATTCTTTACCTCATTTTTTAATTTAAATCTTTCATTTGGAGATAAAATTTCCATAAATGTGGGATTTTTTGCTTTTTGTTTTTTTTTGTTCAAACCCAAGGCATTTTTAGAAAAAAAAATGGGAAGTTGCAGTCTAGTGCTTGGTCTATTTGCCCCAAAAAACTAAAGATAGGAAGTGAAACAAAAGAGAATGGGGAAGGACTAAATGGGTGTCAAGTAGCATCCTCTTTAACTAATACCTTGCAACTGGTTAAGTCTTCCATGTCAGCTATTTTGTGACTGGGAAGTGGGACAATCCCTTTGGAAGCAGTGGAGTCTGTGGGCTTACAGGGCAAATGGTCAGTTTGAGAAAAACAGGTTCTGTTGTTGCTTTCACATCCAGAAGGGCAGCGCTTTGCAAAGCAGTGCTGCCTTTGTCATTATGATAAAAGCAGCAGAATCTTGCAAATCCTGATGCTTGCTAGCTTTTCATGGGAGCAGAGCACATACTGTGTTATAGAGAGCAAGGACGATAGATTCATGGATCTTAGTGCTTCAGGTCAGCAATAGGGGCTGAAACATTTTTCAAGTCTTGACAAACAGAGATTGTCGTGAGTCATTGAAATGTAAGGAAGGGGAGAAGGTACAGCACAATCCAACTTGCAAGGTTCTCCATAAAAGTAGTTTTAGCCTTCCTTTAGAGTTGATTTCCTGGCCTGGTTAACTAGTGCAGCAAACATCAACCCCAGAGACTAAAAATTTCAAAAATGCCTACTGGTTCCAGAAGGCTGGCAGCTCTAGGCAACATATGTGGAAGTTGCGTAGAGTGGGTTTTGAGCAATAAGAACTATTTCTCAGAAAGAAAAACTTATGCAACCTAAAACTGTGGACTTCCTCATCTACACACCATTTGGATGACCACATTGGAACAAAAAACCAAAATACCACTTTTAAGCTGCACAGCCACAAACCTGTAGCTTTTATTATTTGTAAATAAATATATTATTATATAGTATAGTACAATGTCCTAGATTTTGGGGGAGATTTTGATGCATGTGAAGGCCAGTTAAAAGAACTGGCAACTATGACTTCAAATTGTTATGAAAAGATATTATTAACAACAACAACAACAATAATAATAATAATTTGGTTTAATTATATTAAATAGTGATTGCTTACTTCAACTGTTCTGCAGGTTTCCTCCAGCTGAGTTACAATTCCTTGTACTCTGTCATTACTTCCCACGAGCACAGCGATCCCATCACTAAGTTCAGACTGCGAAATAAAATAAACATATGTGGTGCTTTGAGAAGATCTAAAGCATGGTACTAATCTAATTTTTTAAATTCTCTAATCATTAAAACTTTCCTAAAAGGGTACTGAAAAAGTATATATTATGTTTAGTTACTAAGGAGATGCAACCTAATTTTCAAAATTCCTCATTAATAAAATTGCTGAATATAATACTTTTGCAAAATATGAAGTTATTATAACAATTTTATTTAACTGAGGTTTTTTCTTTTCATATTGAAATCTGATTTGCATGATTTAATTCTCCAACTAAAATATTTTAGACAGTTTCATGTTAATTATTATGTCCTTTTCATCTTTTCATATTGTGTCCTGTGATTTTTAGAACATACAACAGTATCTTTTACTATAACCATACAATAAGAATAGCGTCTATATATTCACAATACAGAAATATTAATTGTCACTTGTGACAGGAAATCTAGTGATTGATATGCATAAGTATAACACTTTCTATTTAGATACTTTTTCTAAGCACTATTTTTCATGTGTTATTTCAGAATAGAACACAATGTTTATCAGTACACATGTACACCTTTAATATTGATAAATATAATAATGGGCTTCTTCTAAAAGCTCTGCTTATAAACTGGCTCTTTATCATGGGAGCCTCAGCAAGGCTTTCAAGAAATTGTGTTGCATTTCTCATGAGGATATTCCATATAAACAGCTGTTTCATGAATGCTGTGTTAAAAATAAATAGACCTTTAACAGATGGCAGCAAAGGATTCTGGGAGCATTACTGAACTTTTCTATCCCATGTCCAATAAACTATTGGCAAAATAAAAAATCTTAATAACTAAACAACAATAACAGACAGACAAACAGACAGAAATATATTGGTTTGCAGATAGAAGCATTTTCAGAATAATAGCCAGAATCTGAAATCAAAGACTGAAAATGTTTGGATATAACTTTTTAAAGAATTGCTAGATTCAGACTAGTAATATTTCAGAGTAGAAGAAAAACAACAGTAATCAAATCTAATTAGAAGGACAGCGGTCAACAGCAACAGGCTGAGAGTGGGTGGAACAAGTGTTTCAGCTTGCCCTGTGGCTCCAGTGATGGGATTCAAAAATTTTACTACCAGTTCTGTGGGCATGGCTTGGTGGGCGTGGCATGGCTTGGTGGGTGTGGCAGGGGAAGAATACTGCAAAATCCCTTTCCCTCCCCACCCCACTAACCTGCTTTACAGCTCTATTCTACTGTGCAGGGCAATAAAAGAAGACCCAGCCGATCATCTGGGACTCGGGAGGCAGAGAATAGATGGGGTTGGCGGGGCCAGTCAGAGGTGGTATTTGCCGGTTCCCCAAACTACTCAAAATTTCCGCTACTGGTTTTCCAGAACTGGTCAAAACCTGCTGAATGCCACCTCTGTGTGGCACCCAGACTTCAATCAGATGAAGACTGAGACTACTCCATGTATATTGCTAGCACTTGAAGCTATCAGTGAAAAATTTAAAACATCTGTATTCTACTATTTATACTGCTTTCATGTCACATTTAGGAACATTGTGAAAAGATAAAAAGCAGTTCCACTGATGCAGACTATGTTAGTCTGAAATGTCAGGGAAACTCACTGGCTTTAATTGGAATCACTGTTTGTTGCCTATCTGGAAGGAACGTGCTGTAATAAACATGTTTGCTGCTTCAGAATTACGTGAGTAGCTTTGTTTGTCAGATAAGAGTTCCAATCACTCCAAGTGAGGCTAACATGGAGGGGTTGTGTGCATCTTTTGGGTATGTTGCAAATTGGTGGGTGTGGTATAGAGGCCCTGCCTTTTTGTATACAAATTCAGAGCTGCTGCAAATGTGGCAAGTTTTGATTGCAATGCTGTGCCCACCATATTGCAGATTTTGGTCATCTGAAGAACCCTCCAGAAGATATTTAGACATCCATTGGAAGGGATGTATAGTTGGGAAAAGTGGTAAAATGTATGGCATAACATTGTGACACTGTCTCCTTCTTGATGTTATGATACATATTTCATCATTTTGGTGCTGCTAGGGTTAAGAATTTATGCTTATGGTCAGTTGCATTTAATATGGAAATGAAATTTTTTATTATAAGGATGCTCAATACATGATGGCAACTATGTGAAAAACAAAAAGAAATGCTTCTATGATACCAGACCAATTTGGAAGCCATGAAATTAGACCATTTCTCCAGTATCTACTTGGATTGATTATGTGGCATGGGAGATCTGTGCACCAATAACATATAGTGGTTGTTCTGGCAAAAATTTGAATTAATTTGGAAATTCCTCAAACAAAGCTTCACTTTTTCTCCATCATGATTATTTGTGACATTGAGAGTTTCAGTCCATTACCGCTTCAAGGCACCATATTTGGAATGGCAGCATAGGCTCAAATATTTCACATTAATTGTAACTGTGTGCCTGCCAGCTGGAGCAACAGATTGAGTAGATTTTTAAAAAGCCTTCAAGGACCTAAGTTCCAAACAAGATAACTTCAGTAGAAAATAATTATGTACTTTCAGTAATGCATTCTTATAACTTAATTTTATAAACAGGAGAGTTATTCTCTAAATGAAAAGCCATTTAAAAAAGAAAGATTTTTGTTTGTTTTTTTACCTTCTGCCTTTGGTACACATTTGAGAGGGGAGCAACCTGACAGTCTTTATGAGCACCAAAAACTTTGCACATGGAACAGGTGGGCACTTCACAATTCAGGCAATAAATGTTAATTTTCTCATCTTCATGTTCTTCACACATTGGCTGCTCAGTTTTTCTTTCAGGCCTGTGAATGGAATTACTTTAGGAGAAAAAAGCAAATCCAAACCAAAACGATTAAAAAACTAAAGATCAAATCAAAGAGGCAGATAAGAATATTTCTCTATTTGGAAGGTAACCACGAGACTGATAGCAGGTCTCTGGCATCATAGGGGAAGCAAACAAATTCCTATTATTTTATTTATTAATTAGGTATTAATTCTGTTTTCGTTACATTAATAATAACTCAAGATGGCAATCATATATAATATTCCTTCCTCCTCTTATTTATCCTACAACAACAACCCTGTGAGGTGTGTTGAGCTGAGAGAGAGAGAATGACAAGCCCAACATTACCTAGCCAGCTTTCATGTCTAAGAAAGGTCTAGACTCTAGAACTCACAGTCTCCTGGTATCTAGGCCAGCACCTTAACCACCACTAAACAGTTTTATCCAATGGATTCTTTTCTATGAAGATGTTAGGAAGTGTATCTGTGACAACCTGCATGCAAGTGTATGCTTCTTATTGAACAATTGGTCTCTCCCCAATAGAACAGGATGCAATATAAGGAAATAAAGGCCCTGAGAATGAAAAGATTTCTGGGGATAAAGGAGAAAGTCCCACTGATCTAAATGAATTGTTTCTCATTAAAAATATAAAAGACTTGTGGGTTGAAAAATGCCACAAATAATGTATTTAAAACAAGCTATCTTCTAATGGAGCGAAAAATGGAAAGGACATGAATATTTGGAAAGACCTCTGTGAAAAGTTAAAAGGCTGTTTTCTGTAAATGTTACTTGGCAAATATCCCAAATAATTTGCCTCCTTATGCTAAAGCACCAATATAAAACATTTTTTATGCCCACTTGTGGGAAGTAACTTAAAGCATCTTCCACCTAAGGGAAGTCTAAGGCCACTTCCATACCAGCAACACTCCCATACCAGCAGCAGTTCCCAGTGGTGGGAATTTTTACTACCGGTTCTATGGGCGTGACTTGGTGGGTGTGGCAGGGGAAGGATACTGTAAAATCTCCAGTCAAGGGTGGTATTTGCCAATTCTCCGAACTACTCAAAATTTCCGCTACTGGTTCTCCAGAACCGGTCAGAACCTGCTGAATACCACCTCTAGGTTCCACCTCATTCTCCATCAGTCACAAAGCATTATCTCAACAGGGGAAGAAGTCAAATTCAGACAAAGATATGGGATGCCATAAACCAATCAGACATCACAATATTTCTTTCTGTCAGATTAATAGTAGAATACAAAGAATACAGTAGTATCTGGTCAGTGACCATCTCCCTGAGCCATTACCAACTGCCAGATGTGGTCCATAGGCCATAAAATGCTCAGGTCTGTTTTAAGCAGTTTCTTTTATTGTTCCTCACCTACAGATAGAAATCTTGCTAAACCAAAGCAACTACTCACATCATTAAAGATATACTCTGAGAATTGCTAGGGAGGAGCTGCCTTACTTTCTTTCTCTCAACTCCTCTCTCCTGGGAATCCAGACTACATTCCACCACATCTCCTTAGTATACAGAGTCTATTAGACATTCGTATTAAACAAAGTGTCCTAAAAGCAAGACCTACAATACACGTTGTGAAATTAAGCAAATTGTTTAATTTTGTGGACTTTCATCATTTGCAACATTGTGACTCATTTGAATAAGTCATTTTTACAATGTAGTTAATAAAAGCACAAAGATAATTTTTTGCTGAAGAATCAGTGGACCTTGTTTTCATGATAGCCATTTTTCAGAATAAGTCTTTCATATAATATCTATTATATTGCTTTGAATTAATTAGAACAGTAATATACAACCATAAATATCGCTATAAGTTTATAAATTATTACATATTTGATTTAAATTTCAAAGAAAGAAATCAGCATGACCAATTTACTATTGAATCTTACATAATTGTCTTGGGTCGCACGGTCTAATTTGATACATACCATTCATATAATGAGCCATTTTTGAAAACACAAGGAATTTTTCTTGATCTTAAACTCAAGGAATAGATATCAAATTACCCTGGTTAAAATGTCTGAAGAAAAGTGACCTTAAGTTCTTTACAAACTGAGACCCGGACTAGTAATACAGCAGAATAAAGTAAAAGACCAATATATAAAAGACCAATATCAATAATAATGATCTTTATGTAGTTGTTGAACAAGGAGACAACATCCTTAAATCCTATTTTCTACTGACTCCTCCACTCTCTAATTCCACTCTCCTTTCCCCTCCCCTCCCCTTTCTCAATGCTGAATGTCTGCATGCGTCTTTTAAAATTCCCATACAGTAGTATAGCATAATTCCAAGCATTATTATTACAGTTGTCGAAATATTATTGCTGTCTAATAGTCTTGACCTGGACAAAAAAGTCTAGTGTATATAACAAACTGCTGAAATAAGGTATTTACCTTTGGAACCTTCTTTAAGGGCTCTTGCATATCTGCTCCTATCATTTAATGCTTCTCAATATGAAAGCGTCCAATTTGTAGACAAATGCTTTCACGTGGAAACATACGCAGTAGTTATATGGACAGGTTTGAGGAGCCCCTTCCTAATGTTGCTAAACTTCAGACATATATTTAGGGTATTTTCTCCCATTTGTGAAAATTAGGCATGAGTCTTGTGTTTTAAGCTTCTTGATCAACACAAGAGATAGGCTTGTAGCCAGTGGTGGGATTACATTTTTTTTACTACTGGTTCTATGGGTGTGGCTTGGTGGGCATGGCATGGCTTGGTGGGTGTGGCTTGGTGGGTGTGGCTTGGTGGGAGTGGCAGCGGAAAGATACTGCAGAATTTCCATGCCCACCCCATTCCAGGGGGAAGATTACCACCAGTTCTCCGAATGACTCAAAATTTCTGCTACCTGTTCTATAGAACTGGTCAGAACCTGCTGAATACCACCTCTGCTTGTTGCTCAAACATAAGCAATTGTGGGGTCAGGTAGATGCCAAGAAGTGGAAAAAAGAAGAGCACAGAAGTAGGTATTAGGCCTCTTTTTGCTGCTATTAATTTTTAGCTTTTTAAAAGGACCCTCTAAAAAGTAGTGCTCAGCAAGATAGGCCTATAGGACACATAACAATAGCAAAAAAACCTTAGTGTCTAGACTTACTTATTGGGCAATTAGAAAGACCTGATGAAGACTGTTGTTCATAGTTATTACAAGTTTCCCTTTATAACTGCTTAGTATTAAAACTCCCAGGCCTGAATTTTCCAGAATTCTCTGCTTTTGACTCTTGAGAAATCTAATTCCATGTATTTCAAAGGCAAACATCACTAAGTTAAACGGGATTGTTAAATGATCTTTCAAAGATAGAAATGGTTAATTACCTGGAAGATTCCTGTTTGTATATATCAATTATATTTTCCACCAGCAGGTTTCTTTGAAGGCCATACACTCCATGCCTGTCAAGAACTACTTCATGTCTACAGGAGGGGCAGCGAAATCGACCTCCTGAAGCCACAGTGGTACCTCCTCTGATTGGTAGATATGGATTGGAGGCCTGTTCTTGCCAAGCAGTGAAACAAAATTGTAAAGCTAATTGTATATTATTTCTCAACCATTCTGCACATCACAAGATGCCTATCAGACCATCTACTTAAGGTATGATCTAATGTTTTAATGTAGTCACTGTTATGGTATTAGTGGACTTCACATGAGATCAAATCTCAAAAAAGTAGAAAAAAAGAAATAAGTTTCAGTATCATTTTGTTCAATGCTTGGAAGCTAATAATATGCAAAGTAAGCTAGAGAGAAATTTGCCATTTTTAGAGGTGTTGAGGAACAACAGGAATGAGTTTAAGTGTTAATAGCTCTAAATACTTGAAATAACAGTTCAGTTCCTATAAATAAAAGGGACATTTCCAAATGCAAGGGATCCAAAATCACACATGATAAATAACAAACAACTTTTCCTCTAATTAATTTTCTCCTTATTTAAATAAAATCCTGGTAATTAAACCAACACTGTAATATTCTCCTGGTTTTGTAGTATGAGATCACTAAGCTAGAAATAATGTTAATTGGAGGCGTAAATATTTAAATCAACATACCTGGAAGATATCGCTGGCACATTTTCTACAGAGGTTGTGCTGACATGGAAGGATAACCACTGGCTTAGTAAACATTTCTAAACAGATGGGACAAATAAGCTGCTTCTCCAAGTTATCCATAGTTTGCTGCTCTTTAGAAAAAGACTTATAATTCAGAGTGGCGCTCATCTCCTGGCGATTGCAGGGCGCATAGGCTCAGAATCAGGGTGCTTCCGGGTTAGGTCGCTCAAAAGAATTCCAAGGCTAGCAAGATCAAATGTCCTTTGAAAATCTTTCCCTGGAGGACATTGTTTTAATGGAGAGCAAAAGGAGCGGAGTTTATTTTAGAAGCAGGACTCAATTGGCTGCCAGACTCACTTTCTCCATATATGCCTCTGACACAAGGACAGATTTAGACAGGTGACAGCCTACAAGAGTGAGAGAACCACATTCTTGTGTTTGGAATGGAAAGGGGCAGGGAAAGGGGAAAAGGAGGAAGATTTTGACAGTTGCCAGCAACGTCTCCACAGATGTACAACTCTGTCTTTGGAAAAACTAGTGTGTTAAAGTCACAAGTGAATGGAAGCTGTTCTTATCGTTCTTTAAAACACCCCCCCCCCCCAACTTGGCAACTTTAAGAATTGTGGACTTCAACTTGAAGCCCACAATTCTTAAAGTTGCCAAGTTTGGAGACCTCTGCTTTACAACTTTCATTCCAATAAGGAAAGGACAAGATGCTGTAAAATAAATGGTATTCAGTATTAAGTTTTGTGCATAACAAAACTACAGTTATTCCTTTTTCCTCTAAATATCCTCCTCCACATTTGTGTGTGTGTGTGTGTGTATGTATATGTATATATATAATTTAATTGCACAGGGTTTTACCATTGTAAGCCACCTTGTGACACAAGGAAATACTGTAGATGCTGAGTTTTATCTGAACAAAAATATTTCAGGCAATCCTCACTTAACCACAGTAATTGGCACTGGAATTTCCTTTGGTAAGCAATGGGTCATAAAGCATAATTTCATGCCTGCACAACAGTTGCTATTGTTAAGGGAATCACCACAGGTTGTTAAATGAAAATGTTAGCTGGTCACTGTTTATAGTTCCTCATTGGCTATGCTTGTAGGAAACTGGCAAAGAAGTTGCAAATAGTGATCATGTGACTGCAGGACACTCCAGTGTTGTAAAGACAAGCCCAGTGTCAGTGCTCGGATTGCAATCCTGTCACTGCGATGGTTAGAACTTTGAGAAGTGGTCATGAGTACTATTCATTCAGTCCCATCATAAGTTTAAATGGTCACTAAAGGAGTGGTTGTTAAACAAGGATCACCTGTCTTAGGATAGCCTTCTTCAAATAAAAGTGCAGGGTCAAAGAAAGTATTCAAATAGGTGACAGATTACAAGCATTGTATGATCATCATAACGTAGTCTGATTGCTTGCATTTTAAGAGAAAATGAAGGCATTATTAGTAGTGCTTACTCTTAATTAAAGTAACCTCATGTATATTTTCATGTTGTTTGACATTCAGTTGAAGTCGTTAGGAAAAAATGGTTCTATTAAGAATTGACCCAAAGAGGCCTTATCAAGAGGCGACTGGATTTTTTTATTTTTCTTTGAAGACTTCTCATTCACTTTCACTTCTCATTCAAGAAGCTTCTTCAATTCTGACTGGAGTTAACATTTATTTTTAAGAATTGACATTTACTTTCAGTTGGTGAAATAGAGTGTATGACAGGCAAGACAACGGATGTATCAACAATCCCTAGCTCTCTGATGTGTTTGTTGCAACTTCCTGCTTGACTAATGAGAATTTTTGTAGATGAAGTCATAGGTTTTTTTCTTTTTTCTTTGCTCACATTCACTATTTTATTCAATGGGAAAATATTTATTAATCAGGACACCGTCCAATGAATTGGGTGATTTTATTATGGAATTCCATAATTTTAGAACTCTGCTTGGACTTCTCTAAGCTGGTGAATCTCACAAGTTCAAAATAATGTGCAATAAATAAACTTATAGGAAGATGCATCCCAGTCATATAAATATCTCTACAAAAATGTTTAACTCTACAACACTTAAGATACAAGAAGAAGAAAAAATCCTAGAGAAGGAGACAGTCCTTGCAACGATTGTTCAATTAGTTAAAGCTGGATATCTCAACTGAGTAGCCATTATACAATCTCATACTTTATTTTACCAGGATGGGGATGGGACTGTGGTATAGGTAATCCTTGATTTATGACCATAATTTAGACCAGATTTTTTATTATTAAGCAAAAATAAGTTGAACCTGATTTTATGACCTTTTTGCCATGATTGTTAAGTAAATCACTGCAGTTAAGTGAATCAGGCAGTTGTTAGGCAAATCTGAATTTTACCCACTGACTTTGCTTGTTGGAACCCAGCTGGGAATGTTGTAAATAGTGACCACATGACCCTGGAATATTTCAACTGTTGTGAATACATGCCAGTTGCCTAGCACCTGAATTCTGATTATGTGACAATGGGCATGCTGCAGCAGTTATATGTGCAAGGACTGGTCACAAATCACATTTTTCAATGCTGTTATAACTTCAAATGGTCGCTGAATGAATGATTGTAACTTGAGTGCTACCTTTACACTGAAGGAAACTGGTAAATAATGAAGAAAAGTCCAGTTTTGACAACCCTCATTATTTTTAGAGCATTGCAGTGAAGAAAATAGAGTTCCTGAGATAAAGTTAAAAACTCCCTATTGATTCTGTTTCAGACATGTGTAAAAATGGAGTTGAGTAAATATGTATTTTTCTTCCCCCAACAAAACAGTGGGTACTGTCACTGAAATGGGTCTTCTTCTGGATCCTGATAGAGTTCTTTAATCTACAGGATCTGAAGAAGGCCCTCTCTGCCAGCATGAGTAGGATGGGCTTGTAGCCTGGCCTGATGCCATCATGAGCTTTAAGAGTCATAACCAACATCTTGAACTGCACTTGGAAGGGCACTGGTATCCAGTGAAGTTTGCAGAGCAGAAGTATAATACAGGGCATTCTAGGGCCCCAAAGACTGCTCTTGTTCCTGCCCTTTGCACTAGCTGAAGCATCCAAATGGACTTCAAGTGTAGCCCTATGTACTTGTAGATTGCATTGCAATAGTCCAGGAGAGATGTGACCAGGGCTTGAGTAACTGAGCCCATGAAGTCATGCTCCAGGTGCACAATAGGAGCCATGGAAAAGCTCTCCTGATCATGCCTGCCACCTGCTCTTTGAGTAAGATAATGTGAGTCAGGAGAACCTGTAGGTTGCAAACTGGGTTTGAACAGGATAGTGCAACCCCATCCAGAACTAAAAATGAGAAACATTCGGATTCTGAGGTTCCATGCACCCAAAGCCAATCAGTCTTGCCAGGATGCAGTCAAAATCTGTTGTCTCTCATCTACATCCCTACAACCTCCAGGCATCATGAGAGGACAGAGACAGCAGCATGTGGCAGAGAGTCAAGTGCCTTCCTTTAATTAATCCAAGCATTGTTCAAGTCGGTCTTCCTTCTTTTGCCGTATTCCAAAATCATCTTGTCAATTAGGAGCTGATATTTTGTTCCTCTGCTGTTGAGCAATTTCCTTTCTGTTCAAATGTAGAAAGAGCTTGTTTTCAACTGGATGCTGTTGGACTGCAGCAATTACCACTCCAGTTATTATTATTGTGGTTAATCTCACAGTCAGCCAAATGTTTAAATTAAATTTGGCATTTTTATCGAGTTATTCTTGTTAATATTACTGTTTGCAAATTAATCTGGAGCAGATATGAACAGCAAGGTAGAAAGCTGAAACTAACAAACATCATTCTCATCCAATACCAACTCTTTAGCAATATTCTATGTACATAAGCTTGGATAGTATTTTTGGTACATACATATATACATACACACACACACACACACACACACACACACACAGTTTGACTTCTCTCTCTCTCTCTCTCTCTCTCCCTCCCTTCCCCCCACACACATACACCCCAAAATCTCTCTCTATCCCTGGTTACTTAGAAAAACGGTGATGGCATGCCGCCATTGTTGGCTGAATCTAGGTGATAATTCCATGGCCATATTTCACTTCCAGGACTAAGTTCCAGCCCTGGGCATTGCTATGTTTCTAGCTGTTTATTAGACATATGCATCACTCAACACTTGGCATTTGCTTGAAAGTTATTTTTAAAATGACAGTTTTCCTGATCACGTCTGGCATGTGAGGCCTAATCTTAGGGTAAAACCATCTGTGCAGTTATTTGCTAATACTTCATCACAGAAAATTGTAAGTAAGAGCAGTTTGCATCATAACTTTAGGCCAAATATCCACCATGCTTTACTGTAGCAAACTGCATTCCACAAACATTTTCTATTTACTTAGTACTTTGCATTTTTATTGTATGACAAAAATGGTAAATTTACACAGCGTTGAAAGTAAGCCCTTCCAGACTTACTACTACAGAATAGTAGTAAAATGGCAAATTTAAAGAAAATGCTAATATTAAAATGTTAATATTCAGAAATTAACATAAACATAATTTTATTTGTCAACTTATTTATTCTAAATTTATGTATATAATGTATATGGCTGCCAGTCTCACAGAAATGACTCTGGGTGGCATTGAATTAAAAACTCAACATTTAAAAACTGTAGTCTGTGATGCCCAATATAAATGATACATTCCAATCCCAAAATCCTATTCTTAGCCAAGTTGTCCAAACTTCTAAGGAAACCTAGGAGCCTTACAAAAAGCTAATAGGTTCCAAATGACCCAGTTCCCTAGGAGGATGATATTCCAGAGGACTGGCTCTGCCAAGATAAGGGGAAAACCCTTGGTCCAACAAGAAGACATTGTTTAATGTGGCGTTTTTCTTAAAAACAAAACAAAACAAAAAAACCTGATCAACTTTAAAATTTATGGACCTCAACTCCCAGAATTCCCATAAATTCTGGCTGGGGAATTCTGGGAATTGAAGTCCATACATCTTGAAGTTGCTCAGGTTGAGAAATAGAAGGGATGTGAAACATGACCTAGACCTAGGAGTAATGGGATTTTTTATGACTATGTTGCATTTAATTGCATGACTACATAGTATCAGAGCCTTTTGTTAATATAGATTACAGAAAATATTTTACTATTTTAAAAAATAAAGTAATCACATTCAGTTAATGCATTTGCC